AGGAATTCAAGAAAATCAAGGAATTCAAGAAAATCAAGGAATTCAAGCAATTTAAGAAATTCAAGCAATTCAAGAAAGTCAAGGAAAGGAACAAGTGATATAACACAATCAGTTATAAGGTTGGAATATGCTGGAATTCAAGAAAATCAAGCAATTCAAGAAGTTCAAGAAAATCAAGCAATTCAAGAAATTCAAGAAAATCAAGCAATTCAAGAGCAACGGATGTGTTGCGCGCGGTGGTCTCCCGCGGAAAAATCGTCACCCGGAAATATCACTGCGCTTTAGTGTTACGCGCGGAACCGTCGTGCACAAAAACGTCGCCGCGCAACTGTTGGCGTGAAAATGTCCTGTCACGAGTTTACACTTATAGCTTACTATCGTTTGTGTCATTATCAAATTGCTTGATTTTCTTGATTTTCTTAAATTTCTTGAGTTCCATCATAGCTTACACTTATAGCGTACTATCTTATGTGTCTTTGTTCAATTGCTTGAATTTCTTGAATTGCTTGATTTTCTTGAATTCCTTGAATTCCATGGTAGTTTATACCTATAGCTTACTATCCTATGTATCGTTGTTAAATTTCTTTGATTGCTTCAATTTCTTGAATTGCTTGATTTTCTAGAATTCGTTGAATTCCGTGATAGCTTACACTTATGGCTTACTATCTTATGTGTCTTTGTTGAATTCCTTAAATTTCTTGAGTTCCTTGATTTTCTTGATTTTCTTGAATTCCTTGATTTTCTTGAATTCCTTGAATTCTTATAGCTTACTATCGTATATGTCTTTATTAAATTGCTTGATTTTCTGGATTTTCTTGAATTTGTTGATCTTCTTGATTTTCTTGAATTCCTTGATTTTCTTGAATTCCATGGTAGTTTATACTTATAGCTTACTATCCTATGTATCGTTGTTAAATTTCTTTAATTGCTTGAATTTCTTGAATTGCTTGATTTTCTTGAATTCTTTGAATTGCATGATAGTTTCCACTTGTAGTGTACTATCTTTTGTGTCCTTGTTAAATTGCTTGAATTTCTAGAATTCCTTAAATTGCTTGATTTTCTTGAATTGCTTGAATTCCTTGATTTTCTTGAATTGCCAATTTTTGGATCGTGGTTACTGCTGCCTTTTAGAGAAGATCTAGAAGTGCTTCTTCTCTTATTAGTCACTTAGATGTTGTTCTTATGTCCTTGTATAATATGAGGATTGAAAAACATTTCATATAGTCTACTCATCATTGTTATGCATTCATCTGATTATCATTATCATGATCTGATTATTGTGAGAGTATTAGTTTGTACATAGATTAGCACGCTTTATTTCATACACTGTCTCTGTGTAACAACCGTGAAGATATTAGACAAAGAGAATAAAAGTTGTTTTAACTCTTAGTCAAAAGTTATTCTAACTGAATCAAGAATTAAAGTTGTTTTTTCGATTCACTTGCAGTATCCGGTATACTATTAAGTCTTCATATATATATAATAGTCTATTGGTAATTACTCTCGGTGCTGTTCATAGCGTTTTTCTATGTAAAAAATAAATGTAGAACAATAAACCTTTATAAAAGATGTATTGATCTCATAAATCCTACATCAAATTTTTATAAATCCTGTGTATTTTTATCACAATATGATAAACTCTAAAAAGGGTTTTATTATACGTTGCATTCCATAAATCCTTATATCGATGTAAAGATAATAAACCTGTCGAGCATTAATAGAAAAAATAGTAAATCTTCGAAGGATTGATAAAAATGCAATGTAAATTAAATCCTTTTAGAGTTTATCATACTGTAATAAACCCATAACAGATTTATAGAGTTATGATATATCTCAAGAAGGGTTTATCTAAATTTGATAAAAGATTTATGAGATCCATAAACTCTCTTTGAAGGTTTATTATTCTACGATTATTTTCTAGTATGATAATAATCAAACGTTGAGCGAAAGTTATCATTGCCGATTCTAGTTTAATTGTAATCTTGTTTAGCAGTAGTCTATTTTTTAATAGACCATTCGCAAAATAAATAAGAGAAAGTTCAGATGTAAATTGAAATGTTCGTCTGAATATATTTTCAAGAAATAGAACATAGCATCTATGAATATCCAATAAAAAGAGTGGTGTGATAGTATCAAAAGAGTTTTTCTCAGAACAATAAACTACGTAGTTGTGAACTATCGTAAACGTGATAAAAGCTCTCGAAACTAAAGATTGCTGCACTGTGTCAATGAAACAGAACTAACAAAAATATCTTTGTTTTTGAATTATAGACTGTATCAACGATTTGATTTATATTCGTCTGTACAATGCGGATGATACATTGTATGGCTACGTGAATAATCGAAGTGTTGCAAATGTAACTTATAGGCAAGATTCCAACTTGGTTGATGTTAGTGATTATATTCAGGATGGTATGAATAATTTTACTTTCCTAGCCTATAACGGCGCCAATGCATATACTTGGGGTTTCCAAATCCAAAAGAATGGTAACCTTGCTTTTAATGATACAGGAGGACAAGTAGGTGTTATCGGTGTAAATAATAATGATGGTTCAAAAACGAATCAATATGTTTACAATAAGACGGTTGCTGTCAACGTTAAGAAATGTACATCCAAACCTAAAGGTCAGTTATCTAATTTTTCTATGAGTATGTAGACCTTCGATTACATATGTAGATGTAACATGATTATAAGGATTCAACAAAAGCTTCGTATTATTGAGAATGAGTGATTTATATGATAGATTAAAACTTCTAAGAATAAATCATACAACATAAATAGTGGAATCGATAAAAAAATTCCGATAAATATGAAACAAATCTTGAGACATTAAGTGTTTCTATTTTTGACCATACTTTCGCAGTGAATAAGTTCGAACGATCGATAATGAAGCAAATACGAGATCGACTAAGGAGGATATGTGCTTAGACAAAATTTAGTGTAAATATTAGTTAAAAACTATTTTTAAGCCTTAACTTCTGTCTCAGTAGCCCAAGGTTGAAACCGAACTAGTAAAATGTAACCGATCGAATCCGGTTGAATTTTCCAAACTGATCACTTTTCATCTGTTTTTGTTGATTTTCATGATTTCAATGGTCGAGAAAAACAAATTCAAAACTTCAAGTCAATTGTCGACTGTAGTTGATAAAATCATGATATCTCTAACAGTCATATATGAATATGAGCATCTGTAGAGTTGTATGTTGACTTAAATGAATGTAGATTGTTAATAGGAAGTTTAAGTGTAGTTGGATTGTATTATTTATGTAAATAAAAAGCTCAATTTGACCTTTCCCAGAACTAGAGGTATTTTGTTTTTTTATTATTCAATCAGATTTTACTCTTAGTTATTTGTATAATATGAAGATTGAAAAAGTTTTCATAATCTACTCATTATTGTTATGTATTCGTTCGATTTCCATCATCATGATCTTAATCATTGTGAGATTATTAATTTGTACATATATTAGCACTCTTGATTTCATACACTCTCTCTGTGTAAAAATCATGAAAACGTTAGAGAAAGAGAATGAAAGTTCTTTTAGTCCTTAGTCAAGAGTGAAAGTTGTATTTTTAATTCAATTTCAGTATCAGCTGTCCTGTTTAGTTTTTGTATACATACAAGAGCTTGTTTATAATTAAGCTTGATGTTGTTCATAGCGTTCTTGCAGTGTAAATGACAGACGTAGAATAATAAACCTTCAAAAAGAGTTTATTTGTCTCATTAGTCTTACATAAAATCTTCATGAATTCTGTGTGTGTTTATTACAATATAACAAACTCTACAAAAATTTAATTATCGATTGCACTTCATAAATGCTCACATCACACTGTGGTGAGGATTCATGAGATAAACAAATTCGTTTTCAAGGTTTATTATTCTATGTTTATTTTTTCATATGGTAATAATCAAGTCTTGATCGAAACTTATCATTGCAGATTTTAGTTTACTTGTAATCTTATTTAACAGTAATCTGTTTTTTAATAGACTATTCGCAAAATAAACAAGAGAAATTGCATACGTGAATTTAAATATCCATCGAAATGTCTCCAAGGAAAAGAAGAATAAGTTCTAAAGAACATCTCCAGCTAGAATAAAAGTGTTGTTTTCTTGCTAAAGTTAAATAAATTTCAATTATTCACAATTTAAATTTAAAATAGATTTAATTTAACTTATTTGCTTTTTATAATATATTAAATTAAAAATTAAATTAAATCAAATCAAATTATTCTATTGATTTATAAACTATCTAAGAATAATTCTCACAACTTTCCTATAGTTAACTAGGGACAGTCCTCATAACTGTTCAAGGATTATCAACGAGTACTATAAGTATCTTTCCACAGGTTAACTTGAGGTACCATTAGTGACCATCTTAAATCTATCTCAAGTGCTATTAGTAATTTTCTGAAGGTTAACTGATGAGAAGAGCAATGGTAGCTTTGTCTAGATATCTGAGGTGACATCCGTAACTTATTGAGGACTACCTGTTACTGAAACCTTTACCTGTTGTAGGTTTTCTTAACTATCCTGAAGAAGTTTTGACAATCTTTCGAATTGTTAATGCATAGCAATCCATTACAGTAATCGAATAGATTGTCAAAGGATAAAACATCCCGAACAATTCGACTCAAGGATAAACTGCAGTATGGACAAATCGTTGTTAGAATAAATAGTTATTGACAAAATATTGATATATTTGATAGCATAAAAATATTTGTGTGTTATCAACTGATTCTCTAGAGAATAATAATCAAGAGTGAAGAAAAATAATAAATAATGACTATAGTTCTTATGACTATTGAATACTGAATTGAAACAAGAACTAATGTAATGTGATATCGGAAAGCTTTTCGAATTTTTGCAAATGTATTAATCCTTTTTTTCAACTGAGTATTCAATGTTCATAAGAACTATAGTCTTCTCTTCTTATTATTTTTTGTGCTTTTTTTTTATCATTCTCTAGAATAATCAATTGATTGACGCACAAATATTTTGTGCTTTAAAATATTGTAACATATTGTTCTGTGATAATCAATCCGATCATTATATACATGACATATGAGATTAATTTAGAGCATTCACTTTTAATAACGTCAAAGTATGATCAGTTTAGCTACTAGTTTATTTTTTGTTATCATTATTTGATTTTTGTTATTACTTTGCTTTATACACATATGATGTGAAAGTAATCGAAAGAAACTAGTAAAAAGATGAATTTAGTTTTTTTGGATGATTTCATACTAAATTACAGAAAGATACATCTTTCAAGATTTGTTCGTTATTTTCTATTTTATTTTAGTTCTAAAAGCGATAGTTTTCGTACTATTAGATGATTAGCACCGTAGAGTATATCTTACAAGATTTCAACTTGAAATTATCGTACTTTCGATTTGTTATATAAATGTTACAATGTTTGTTTCATTCGTGTATTAGAAATATTCAATTCAGCTTAGATTTGTCTGACTATTTCAGTCACTTGTGTTCCTGAGTGTAAAAATAATGGAACATGTGTTAGCCAAAATAATTGCTCATGTCCAAGTGATTACACTGGTCCAACTTGTGAAATTCGTAAGTGTTACATTTTCTTGATTTTTTTATGTACTTTTATATACAACTCGTTGTTTTTTTTTCTTCAAGAATCCATTGGATTATGTCGTGACAATGAAATACTTGACAAAAAACCCATTCTATTGGTTACATTTGGAAATGGTTTATCTAAATATTCTCAAGTTACACCTGATCGTTTCAATTTCACTACAACATATAAGCAACAATTTCAACCTACAACATACGACGGCTCATTCAGTTTTATCAATAGAGTCCCTAATGATTTCAACAATGATTGGCATACTGATGCAACAGATCATACAGGTGATCCAGGTGGATACATGTTTTTAATTAATGCTGATGAACAACCTGGTCAGTTTTATAATGGTGCAGTCAATAATCTATGTATTGGTCTACGTTATGAATTTTCTGTCTACTTGGCGAATATTATGAAACTAACTGGTAGAATTAAACCAAGTGTTCGATTTGAAGTTCGAAGTCCATCACTTGGAAATCGATTACTTGCTCAATTATCCTCAGGAGACGTACCAGAGGATACAACTTTGACGTGGAGAAAGTATGGACTTTCATTCATAGCGCCAAGCAGTACAGTTGTTCTCTTAATGATATCCGATGCTCCTGGTGGTGGTGGAAATGATCTAGCCATTGATGATATTGCATTGACTGTTTGTTCACACAAAGGCAGTGGTTTCTGTCCTTCATAATAGAACAAATACCAATTATATGGACATTATGTCATTCTAAGTAGTTTCATATTGTTACTCAAGCTGGCAGCTTCATTAGCTTTTTCTTACTTTCACTCTCTGCTTGTTCTTCATAAGTTTTAGTTTATTTTCTTCATTTTCGCATTAATAATTGTATGTGTGTGATTCGATTTTGATTTAAAATAAATAAGAACTTGTCCGTAGTTAGCTAATAATAGTGCCCCATGTTCTTTTATTATCGACGAGAAGCACACAGTCTTTACAGTATATTCTTGAGCGAATTCGTCCTTAACAAGAAAGAAGAACTCTACATCTTTATGCGCTAAAAGAAAGCGTCTTTTAATAAAAAAAACATAGGTTAAATTTCCTTTTTGTTATTTAAAAGATGTATTCAATAATAGCAACCATTAGAATGAACAGTCAGAGAAAATAGTATAACTGCTCTTTTGTACAAAGTTATGATGAACTGTTTTAGAAAACAAAGAACAAAAGATATTGAATGATATTCATGTAGAAAATCATCTATCCGAAATATTGAAATAGATGCAGTGAAAACTTGGTGGCAAATATATTTTAGAGAATCCTCTGAGGAGAATTATACCTTTGAAAAATAAATCAGGATTGATCTTCTGTCATAGTCATGTATGGTGAGTAAATAATGATATTGTATACATTAATTCTTATCTCTATCCTGTCTTGAATACAATTGATTTTCCAAGAATTTATTGATAACTTTCCGTAAAAACTGGTGAAAAATCTGTTTAAAAGTTTCTGACTATTTCTCTTAGGTTGTATATATTTGATAAAGATTTCGCCAACTACGACCAAATAAGCATTATCTTTAAAAGAAAAATAACTAATTGGTACTTCTTTCTTAAATATTTTGTCGAAACAAATAAAATGACTCGAAATAATGAATATTTTCCATCATCATAACGACTAGACAATCTCGTTAGAAAAAAAAATATAAATAAATTTTTTTTAAAATTATAATATCATTTCAGATACTAGACAAAACATATATTATTTTAAATTAAAAAAAGATCATATATTTAAAAAAAAATGTTTATGAAAACTTCATAGATATAATACACTGGTGTATCACTTTTGCATGTTTTAGCAAAATAACCTGTTCTTGCTTACTATAAAATACAATGTACAAGGTATCTTCATTTAAAGACAAGACATAAAATGAGCACAGAAAAAATAACATTCTTAATTACGAAATTGAACAAGCAAGTAAGAATAAATGAGAAAAAAAACATATCAATTATGTCTTTTTCTAGAAAAAACACACGAAAGTATGCGCGATTAATTGGTACAAAATTCGTATTGATCGTAATGACATCGATGAATTGTGTTTTCATCTTTACAATCATACACAGGATGGTCAGATCAGAAATTAGTCAGAAAAGGCAATTTTTTGCTAACTAGTCGATATTATGTTAAGGTATTGGCATTCAATGCCATATTAATTTTTCGTTCATTGACTTATATGTTATTTTCAAAAGTATTAATCAACAGTACATTTCTAAGACCTGTTGTTGTGACCGTGTTTGACTCTATGAAAAACAAATATACATTCATCAGCTAAAATTTTTATCAGATTCATATTTTAGAGTTTTAAATTGTGTTAGTAAACAAGCAGTACCGAATAATTTTGTGTATTTCTTATATGCATTATTACACATGTTTATGACAGCTAATTCCCTATGAAAATAAATAGAATACAGTTTAAGACAAGCTTTACAACGTGCTTTATTAAATCATCTATTTCTTGTAATTGTGAAGAGTATTCGTTAATGGGTAATAAATCTCCACGAAAAACTTCTTTGTTGTTCTTCAACGTTCGAGATGACGGTGTTGATAACCTTTATTCATTCTGTACTTTGTGACTATCATCTTCTATTTTATTTATCTCGTTCACCAGATAAATCAGTATTTATTCATATGGTACAAAATAAGACAAGACTATCAGAATGGATGAAAACAAGAAATTTATCAAAATTCAGTTCACTAACAAAGCTGCTAGCTGAAACTGTTTAGAATTCGGAAAATAATCAGATGATCTAGCAAAATTAGAAACACGTTCAAATTTCAGAAAATTGCTCTATTTTTCAGAATATATGGCCACTCTGACCATGCATCAGATAGGAAACAATAATAGTTTTTCCTTGTTAATTACTTTCTCTGATATGATGATGGGCGAAAATTTCAATGTTGTCCATCTCAAGTCGCATTTATTCGTATCAAACAATGAATATTCTTTCTCTTAAATTAGACTTCTCAAAGAAATGTATTGGTGAAGATGAGTTTTTTCGATCAAGTCTGTCGCAAAAAGTTTTTCAAGTCAAAAAATTTTATTCTCTCAGTTTTTGACGTAAGCAGATACATTGATCTAAGCATATCTCATTAGGTCTCCGGTTGAGAATGGTCACAAAAAGACTAATTTGTCTTAGCTCAAGTCAAAAACATGTTTTATGATTATCTCAAGTATGTATTCAGAAGCTTTTTAGAAGGAGAATCACGATTTATTGTTATTTTATCATCAATAGATAAAGCAATCTGCATAGCTACAACAAAAGTGAAACTTATAGAGTTGACAATATGATATGAGCACCAGTCTTTATCTTAAGGAGAAATAAATGCATTTGTATAATATTTAGCGTATAATGACAATCTAATGCTACAATATTAAATATGCGATTCAATGCAAAGAATCAATACATATGAATCATTTCCATATGATTAAAAAATCATAAGTTGAAAGAAAAGTATTCTTTTAAACTAAATGTTCAAATTATGAATAATGAATAAAATTCATAAATAGTCAAATATATGAGTGATTCTAGTGTTTATTGTACCATTTGACCACCAAAAATGGCCTTGTCTATATCTCAGCCCTTATTCACTTAAATCGATTGAAATTAATGCTAAAGTATCTATCAATCACGCACTATTTACACTACTAAAATCAGATTTATATCCCTTATCATTTACGAATCGTTTAGAAGGGTGTGGGTGTGGGTAACTCATGTATAGCTATCAACATCCACACCTACACCCACACCCTTGTCTATGTGGTGATTTATCTGCATTCACAATCATCCTCATCACTATATTCAAACTCGAACATTTCGTTGTACACATCTTTTATCCATTGAAACATTTTGCTAGAAATTACAAAAATAAGCAAATGACTTGAGAATTTATGTGCGTTTTTATTTTTTTTTCCAACTTTCCGAGTTTCTGCAGACTGCGTTGATATGTATTTTATATTATTAAGTATCAAGTTGCACGTAAACACAAAATCATGTAGATATTTTATATGCATGGTTCTTTATATAGCTCAGTTTGCAGTGCGATCAAATAACCAAAGAAAATCCCATCTGCAAATAGATAGAGTATTTGCATAAAAGACAAAAAGAACTTCATTCGTTTTATTGTAACTCTTTCATAACTATAGTATTTTTAAAAAACCATGAAGCGAATTGCAGGTGAAAGACACTGTAATCACCGACGAAAACGTAACTGGCCAAAAATTATCATATGCATATTTTTCTGTCTCACAATCTTGGTTATTGTACTCAGTGTAATGATCAGATTTGTTATTTTATCTCCATGTAAACAGTCACCTACTACTACCGTAACAATCAATACTACTACAAGCATTGCTACTACAATGGTAACACAAATAATATCCACAACTTGCAAACTAGGTAGCTGTAAGTTTGTACTGATTTTCAGTTTCTTTTCTAAAATATAAAAATTTCACGCCTGTTAGGTCCTAAGTGTTTTTCCAAGAACACTAACATCACACTCGACGATGGTTCTCACCGTCCAATATCTGACTTACGTATCGGAGATCGAGTTCTCGTGTTTGACAAAGATCGCATAAGCTCGAGTCCAGTTTTAGCGATTTTTACTCATCTTCATGCACCAATGATTGAATTTATTGATCTGTACACTACAGACACTACTATTCGTCTTACACCTACACATTTTCTCCTCGTACGCAAACAAAATGAAAGAAGAAACACATATACAAGGGCACAAGACATTTCAGTCGGAAACTTTCTCTTCATGTTGTCTTCTCGAATGGTATGTTGTTCGTCGAACGACACTTTGGTCGACAGACTTTTCGTCGAAGTAACTTTGTCGAAATTTTTTTGTAGAAAAGCATTTCGTCGACAAGACATTTTGTCGAAAAGCATTTCGTCGAAAGTAAATTATTTTCTTCTTAGGGTGTGGGTGTTTGGGTGGATGTGAGCGTAGGGTCTCTTTAATCACATCTACACCCACACCCACCAAGGGATATTTCGACTTTCTCAGAATATTATCCAAAAAATGGTCATTGTTATCTAATTTTGACCATTGTTGTAAGAATTACCAAAGTGGCCAGCCTAGGAGACTTGACATATTGAGGTCATTTTAAAGATCTAACCTATCTCTATTTGTGATAAAAAAATCACGAAGGCTTATCTCGACTTCCTCAGAATATTGTCCAAACGATGGTCACCAATAGTGATTTTTCCCTAAATTTTAACTATTGTTGTAAGAGTTGCTGGACTAGCCAGCCTCATAACCTTCACATATTGAGGTCATTTTACAGAGTTCACTTGTCTCTAACCGTCATAAAAAAATCAGGGATAAGCATTTTGGTTTTCTCGAGATATTGTCTAAATATCCGGTGAAAAATGCAAAAAAATATCATACAAAGAAGACTCAAACTGACTCTTAAAAATATGATGAAACTACATAAAAAATACCATCAAAATGTTTGTCGTGCTGGAATCTGTGTATCTATATAGTTCCCAGAACGATTTGTCGAAAAAAAGTCAATGGGCCGATTTGTGGTCTTATGCACCCCCGTTCTTTATTGGACGTACTAAGAGTGCAATTTGGAACCGGAAATTGTGAACCCGACGGGCTCTAGTGAGCACATGACTATGTGCATTCAAGCAAGCATGCGAATAGACACAAACTCATTTTATTTCATATGATTCTTTGCTCTGTCCAGGGAAAAACACGATGAAGCTTTTTTCTGAGTGCTGTTTGATGCTTTTCAATTTGTTTATTTTTATTAATATTTTGCGACTTAATTAATTCCAAACTATATGGTTTTAATGATTGAAGTACTGCACGTGTACGTGCACGTGATCCGCGTACATATCTGAATGAGTAATATATGGAAATTACAGGTGCGTAGTCTGTAATCGGACACTCGGTGCATATTTTTATCACTTCCTTTCTTATTCATACATCAATGTAAATACTTTTTATTTCTGTAAATATTACCACGATTTTTATTACATCAGTGATAAGAAAGGCGTATATGCGCACATATATGTATATTTAGCTTGCAATATTTGGGATTCGATGCTGAGTGGTCCTATATAAACAAAGCAGCATGCTGCTTATAATACATTCATATTTTGTTCGAACAGTGCAATTTAGCGTATAATGCTTTTTTACTTTTTACTCCTCATTGTCGCTCCTCTATCAGCGTTAGCAACACTCGGTGTTGATGTCTCGCAGCCTGTTACTCAGGCTCAATTCGATTGTTTAAAAAGTAAGAGTTGTTTTTAAAAGATAAATCAAGTCTCATGTGTATGATTATAGAAAATGTCTATGAATTTGCAATTGTCCGTGCTTTCCAAAGCACTGGTGACATCGATCCGAATGGCGCACAGACTATCAAAAATGCGCGGGCCGCCAGCATTCCTTATGTTGATGCCTATCTTTTTCCATGTGTGTCGTGTGGTGATGCTGCTCAGCAGGTAAATAATTACAAGTATCTGAATCACCATTCACTCGGCAATATTCCACTAGTGAAGCGCATTTTAGAACGAATTTTTTATATATAAAATAGAAGTTTCTAACAAAACAGCGACTTGTAAGAAAAAATTTAGTGTCAAACACGTTGCATTTAATCTGCTTTGGTGAGTTGTTTCTCGTTGTACTAGCATCTTTCATATAGTATTTTAAAAAATAATAATCTGGTACTGCAATTTCGTTGCTGGTTATATGTTGGTCATAGCTATAATTATATAGATGAATGAGTGTCTTGATAAAGGGAGAAGCTCGTTGTTTGAGCAGATCTAACTGCGTTCAGTATGTTGTTTCTTTAAAACAGGTGTCCGCCACTATGGACCATCTGGAAACTCAAGGTGCAATAATTGGCATGCTGTGGTTTGATGTGGAAGGTGCTGCTGAGTACTGGGATGCTGATTCCAACGTGAATATTCAGTTCATTCAGGCTCTTATGATGCTGCCAAAGCACGTGGAATAAATTTCGGTATATACACAAGCAAGTCCCAGTGGAATCCGATTACAGGCGGAACGGCTCAGTTTGGAGAGCCACCGCTTTGGTACGCTCACTATGATAATGACCCATCGTTCAACGATTTTGAGCCATTCGGCGGATGGACGACTCCACCAATCAAACAATTCGCTGGCAATGTCATTGAGTGCGATGTAAACATCGACAAGAATTTTTATTAAGCTACATTTTGTCTGCTATCTTTTACAGAACTCAATAAATTCTACAGATAGTAGGATGACAAACGCGTTTCCACAAATATATGGCATCTTAAGTCTCTCATGTTTGACGGGTATAATTGATAAGCCGGATATCTTCTTCAAGAAGTTTGATTTCTTCAAGTATGCATCATTTGATTTTGATAAGGCGATTAGTGGAAATTTGCATGTCCATATCTTTCTTATATAAATGTTCCAAAATATCTCACAACAGAGTAAAAGAATCGATTTTTAGGGTCTCACTTTATTAAGATGGCATTACAATTTCATATCGAGACTAAATCAGCAAGAAATTTGAAGTAAAAATCATATGAAGTTGTATTCTACTTGGGCACTGTCATCAGAATCAAGTCTGTATAATTTCTTCTTCTTTCCGAAACTAAAACATCATGAATATCGAATTCAATTCGACGGTGGTAGTACGATATTAAATACGTTAAAGTAAGCTATAAATACCTTTTCGAAAGAAGATTTGCAAAAACTACTCCGACGACTGTTATATTCAAATGCCCAACCATTCATGCTATAGGACCATGCTCCTGAATATTTGTCTAAAAGACTGCTGAAAACCAATGTATCTTATAGAGGCATTCGTGTTGATTTTGAGACAAAATCAGGCATACGAAATAGTTCTTTGCAAATATTTTTGAATAATCATTGAGAGTATTATTTATTAATATAGTTCTCTTCCTATTTATTTATGAGTTATATTATTTTCTCCTTGACGTTTCGATCAATGAAATTGATCTTCTTCGGAAGTTCTCGAACAGTTAAAATGATTAAATTATAATAAATAAATGTACATAGCAAAGTAAAAACAAAGCAGATAAAAAGGGTGTGGGTGTGGGTGTGAGTGGGTGTGGCTGATTGAGGCTACTCTTTTCTTTCACGCCCACACCCACACCCTTCTTTTCAGTGTAAAAACCTTGTATACCATAATACACCCTTCTTACGTAGCTTTTTCATTAACTTACGCTCAAGATTTATCATAAAGGTATCAGTTATTATGGGCACCAATGGTGAGTTCATTGCTACACCATTATATTACTCGTAGTACTTACCATTAAAAGCAAAGTGAGTGTCAGATGTAGCAATTTTCAAGAGTTGTTTTAGATCTAGTCTGTTTTGATAATAAAAACATCAATCCTCTCTTTTCTTTTTGTTTTTCTTATCGAAGCAATTATCACTTGGTCCATATAACCCTCACCCTCTCTCAATCATTACTTAATCTGACCGCAAGATCAGTCCCATTATTGCTATATCATGAGGGTCACCCAAGAAAACACAATAACATGGGAAAAGAACTGAAGCAAAACAAAAGGAGATAATAGTTGCTGATTCTTAACTTCTTCTATCTCATATCTTCATTACATTCTCTTCCATAAAACTCTGTCATCCATTCTTACTTATACAATCCTTTAATGAAATTTATCTTTTACCTTCTTCCTCTTTATATATCTTTTCATTCCAACAATCATATTTCACTTTCACATAATATCATCATACTAAGTATTTTCTTGTGTTTTATTGTAGATTATATCTCGTCAATGATTATAAATTTATCGAAACATCGATGTTAAACATGAGGTCTAATCTCTTTATTGCTGCTGTTAAAACAATACAAAACAATGTATTTCTTCCAATCATTTCTGCTTTCTACCAAATCTATATTATTAGAATATATTTTATTAACAAATAACTAGATGATTTAGATACTAATATCTTGTTTATGATCTTCGGAGCATCAGAACAGAGTTAGCACTCTATCTACATCTTCTGATGACACTCTTGAGCAAAGTTGAAATCACGATCATGGTGTGCTTATTGACTCATACCCTTTCATCCGTCCTTTTCGGTGGACGTTAAAATAACCTGCTTAGGAGATTCTCTATGGAAGGTGGAACACACACGGTTGCGGATCCAAGTCCCTCCTGTGTACTACGGTGATACGTGGTCGGGCCATATCTGTTGGCCCCCGGGCTCTCACCACACTCAGGGTCACCTGGGTCGCGCGCGCAAATAGCTATTCCTTTTTCGGTCTTCCTCGTTTATTTCAATCCAATCATGACAACAGAAATCGTCTGTCCTTTTTCTCTAACTGTTCTCGAAGTGATGACGAAATGTTATTGCTCCGCAGGTCCAATTGTCGTAGTCTCTACGCAACAGAAGAAAAAGAAAACATATCACGTTCGTTTCTAACAACGAGAGCAATTACACAACTTTTCTCACCTTGTTTGTTTGAAGAGCATCGGCGAGATATTGTGCGCCTTTGTCTCCGATATCACAATACATAAGGCCAAGTGTTCTGAGTGTCTACGTGAAAAGTGCCGAGAGTCAAGAAAGAGATGAGAAGAGAATCGTGTTCACCTTGTTGTCTTTGAGAGCATTGGCGAGATATTTTGCACCTTCGTCTCCGATTTTAGTACTCGGAAGGCGCAATCCGGTGAGTGTCTATGTGAAGAGTACCGAGAGTCAAGAGAGAGATGGGAAGAGAACCATGTTCACCGTGTTGTTTTTGAGAGCATCGACGAGATATTGTGCGCCTTTATCTCCGATTTCCTTTACAGTAATCGTGAGTTCGGTGAGTGTCTGTGTGAGAAGTTCTGTGAGTCAAGAGAGAGATGGGAAGAGAATCATGTTCACCGAGTTGTTTTTGAGAGCATCGACGAGATATTGTGCGCCTTCAAATCGGATATCATTATTGTAAAGCTCGAGATTGGTGAGTGTCTGTATGAAAAGTGTCGAGAGTCAAGAGAGAGATGAGAAGAGAATCATGTTCACCGTGTTCTTTTTGAGAGCATCGGCGAGATATTGTGCGCCTTCATCTCCGATTTGATTCCCAAAAACATTCAGTTTGGTGAGTGTCTGTGTCAAAAGTGCTCAGAGTGATGAAAAAGATGAGAAGAAAACCGTGTCCACCTGATTGTTTTCGAGAGCAACGGCGAAATATTGTGCTCCTTCGTCTCCGATTTCATTGCCTGCAAGCTCGAGTTCGGTGAGTGTCTGTGTGCAAAATGCCGAGAGTCATGAGAGAGATGAGAAGAGAATCATTTTCACCTTGTTGTTTTTGAGAGCGTCTGCGAGATATTGTGCGCCGTCCTCTCTGATTCGATTACTGTAAAGCTGGAGGTGGGTGAGTGTCTGTACGAAAAGTATCGAGAGTCAAGAGAGAGATGAGAAGAGAATCATGTTCACTTTGTTGTTTTTGAGCACATCGGCGAGATATTGTGCGCCTTTGTCTCCGATTTTATTGCCCCAAAGGTCGAGTTTGGTGAGTGTCTGAGTGAAAAGTGTCGAGAGTCAAGAGAAAGATGAGAAAAGAATTGTGCTCACCGTGTTGCTTTTCAAAGCATCGGCGAGATACTGTGCGCCTTTGTCTCCGATTTTATTCTCCCAAAGCGAGAGTTCTTCAA